ATAAATAAAGAAGAAGAAGAAACTTTCATTGTGTTAGGAGGGGGGGAACTGACCTTGCAAGCCCATCCTCTTGGTTCTGTACTAAAATTTCCTCAGTCCAAGTACTTCCTCCAGGCCCTGCCCATTGTTCATAGAGGTGGAGAAGCATTAAATTTACGCATGCATATGTTTGTCTACCTATTTTATTTCATGCTTACGTCTGCATCTTTAGACAAAAGTTTGTAAGCATAAAGATGCAAGCAAGATGAACAGGTTTGAGAACCAAAAAGAGCAAGAACATACCAGTGCAATCGAATTCATGGTTTGCTAGGGTACGTGCCCTCTTTGCTGGATGAAGCATAGACTTGAATTTCTTAATAGCACCAATTTCTGGAGAGAGTGTATCTCTTGGACTTGAAACTACACATCCACATTGTAAATTTCATATGAATGAAAAGGAAAATGGAAATAAAATTGAAGAAACAAGCATTAGTTCCGGACCATACAAAGTGCTCTACTCATAATGAAGATTAATTGTGATGCAATCTGAACCTATTGACATTGATGTGTCATCTATACAATAGACTGTGATTTTAATAACTTACGTTCAAGTTCAGATTAATTTGTTTGTGTAGATCCTATCAGGGATATGAGATATAAGCATAGTGACGTAGGAGAACTGAGATGTGCATGTTAATGAACATAGCAAGCACCTCTCCAAGGCAGTTAAGGGAAACAGGAAGTTCAGTTTTTCATTCAGCCTTGTGTGATCCTTGTATCTTTAAGTGGTTCTAGTAGTCTCCTAAGTTGAATAAAGAACTAGCTGCTGGTTTCAAAGTGGATGCGGGCAATCTGCCAACCACTATAATTTTTGTCTTTCTTGCTCCTAATCCACCTCTCTATTTTTGGAACTTCTTAATAACCTGGCCGTTCAGAATTTTAGTGTCGCGGTATTTCGGATCAGCTTTTATATAACAGTGCAGAGGGAAGATTCTTTGGTGGGATAATTGTTAATGGTTACTATGTGCCGCTTAATAGAGCATGTATTGTGATAAAATTGGGCCTCCTACAGAGTAGCACTACTCCTATTGGCTATTTTTGAACAAGATACAAAATTTTCATTGATTAATGAAAATGAATAAAATTGTTCAAAGATACAAACTCTGAAAGGAGTGAAAAAAAATAAAAATTAAAAAAAATTACTCCTATTGGCTATTTAGAAATTCTAAATTAGAATATTGAAAAATACAAAAATTTTCTGAATCAGAGCAGTGAAACGCAGCTTCATTGCATCCAAGGCAGATTTAATTAGCCTTTACGTCAAACTGAGAAAATAAACTGGTAATTTCAAATCTCGTAAAACTCCCATTTTATCTTTCATAGACCCAGAAGAACCAAACAACTTAAATTCCTATATGGAGTTCTGGAGCTCGGATACCTTTCTTAATGAAAGATATGTCACTTTAACTCTCCAGTGGTACCAACAACACAATTTATCAAACAACCAGTATCTGTATGCAAACTTAAATCAGAATAGGACAAGCCATGAAAACAAAACATCGGTAGGTCATTTTCATCGAGCAGGAGATGTAGTGTAGATTAATTTCAATGTAGTGTACATGCCTCACTTGTAACAATGACATAAAAAAGTAATGGTGTAAATTAATTTCAATATAGGACTAAGTAGCTGGGAAACCTTCTGCTGAGCTCTCGGAGCTGGCATCCTCAAATGATGAATCAGATAACCCATAATCTGCTGCTCCTTCTGTTAAGCGAGTTGCTGCTTTCCTCGGTGGAGATTGCCAAATCTCTTCATCATCTTCCTGAAGGTCAATAAGGAAAAACAAAATATAGAGACATGACAATGAGGCTCAGAGACTGCTGCAAACAAGACATTTTCAGGAAGATGATAGTTGAGATAAACCCTAAACTCAATAGGCAAGGATACCGAAGAGTGTGGTTTTACATTTGATCCATCGCAATCCTCTTCTGAAGTCTGCAACTTCCGGAAGCTACAAAGATTTCTCATAAAAGACATATCCTCTGCTAGGCCAGGACTTGAAAAATCACAAACCATTTTGTCTGCTTTTGGAGTTGAACTAGGCGTACTGCAGACAGGCGTTTTCATTCTAAATGTTGGACTTTCTATATGACTCTGCGGGTCCACATCCTTCTTCAGGAATGGACTGTCTTCTTGTTGGTCACAATCTGCTGGGCTGTAAATATCCTCTGGCAACCGTGTCTTGTCTGTCTGTGGAAATTGATTCAAATCCTTCAGTTCATCTTTTTCATTGATAACATGGTTAGCAAGAGAACTATGGGAACCCAGAACTTCTCTAAAAGAAGAAGGTTTGCCTTGAGGCGCCAATTTTTCAATTCCATCTGATTTAGTAAAAGTTCCAATGTCGTCCTTTTGAGGAAAGGAAATTTTACGTGGCTGAAATTTGAAACTCCTTTCCCCACTCTTCTTTCTTGTACACATTGATGAAGCCCTGTTGGTATCAGCATGTGTGCCTTCAGGCCATCCTTCAAAGACAAAAATATTTCCCTCTTGACGTTTCCCTTTGTCACATGAAGGGGTCTTAGACTTTCTTGATTTCACGGTAGTGCAAGATCTTTTCCGTGCTATAGAACAAACTATTGGCCTCTTTGAAGTCTGACCAGGACCTTCTGAATCAGTTTCAATCGTATCCGAATTCTGTTTAAATCTGACAGCACTATCATGCTTTTGAACAAATATTTGTTCCGTTATTAAATGATTGGCATCTTTCTCATGATTCTGACATTTGGAGTGCTGATCATTAGGTAAAGAAACAGTTCCAAGTATCTCCCAAAGCTTCATTTTCAGAGTTTCGGTTCTTCTATTTTCTGATTTATTTGTTTGATCCTCAATGACCACTTTGTCTGACCGGACTTCTGCTATGGTTGCAAATGCAAACTCGTGCAACCCCTCATTGGTTCCCTCCCTCCCTCCTTCCATTTGATAGTTTACCTCATCAAAGTTCTTCTCCTTGCTGTTGCCAGATTTGAACACTGAGCTTTGGTTTGCAAACAAACAAACAGGATATCTAGACGGTGGCTCCTTCAGTCCATGACTTTTACTCTGCCTCCCACGACTTGTTGGAGAATGGACCACTTGTTCTGCTCCACTTATAGTTTCCAGAATAGGTGCACTTTGTTTAAGTGATCGAGTAGAAATCCATGGAGAACTCAATTGTTGAGGAGCTTTTGATAATTTTGATTTATCAGTACCAAAGGTGCTTGCGTCTTTCTCCCTCCACTTCCTTTGGGTGGAATTTTCTAAACTAGAAAGGAGAACTTCTGCATTTGATACCTTAGATTTTAGTTCTTTTGCGCCTCTAGATCTCCCATTGGCTGGTGACTCTACCATAACACCAATTGAGATCTTTCTCGATTGGCTTGATGGATGATAATTGCTACCAAAACTCCGGCAATCACTCAATGGATCCTGAAATATATGTATGAGGATCCCATTGGGAATTAGATTGCAATCGGTGCCAATAATAATTATGCCATAAGTCTTAATTTAATGTCTTTCAATTTATCTTCTTATATAATTCCTGTAAGTTAATTAAAAATTGACGAACTTAAAAGTTAAAAACTGCCAAAGACTAAGCGGAAGCAATAATTTTGGAATCATATAACTGTTTGATTAATATGTCCCACAAAAGTAATATAACACCTTTCTTTTTCTGCTTTGCTAGTTAAGATTCCACACAAGTAAAACCTAATGTTTCAACAACAGAACTGAGTTGAGCTTCACTTTAATCAATAACCAATAAAATATCCTATGGGCAAAAGGAAAATAAATCTGTAAACTAACAAGACAACCGATATTCATTCAGCACCGAGAACCAACGATTATGAAATAACAAGTTAGTAACATGAATGGGAAAAATTTTGTAGTCTATTAAGGAACATGAAAATTGAATCCGAAAAGAATTGAAGAAATAATACAACTAAGGGTTTCAACGCTTACATCTCGCAAATTTGGCTGCCTACCAACCTCCGCTTCCGTCATCTTTTTTTCTGGGACAATATCAAACAGACACCAATAATTGATAAAATTTGAAGAATATAAGAGACATAATGAATGTTAAACAAAGGAATTAAGCGGAAAATATAAAGATGAACGTCTGCATTTGGTTTTCAATGACGGATAGCTAGTTAGAGGTGTTCGAAAACTGCGTAGTTGTTGTGTTGGTGAGGTTCGAAGATTTTCTAGTTTCACTTGATGAAATGGTGCCAATCTCGTTATCACGACGAATAGGGTGGAAGAGGATGATATGAATATATTTTACAGTACCAACATGTTACCGGGATTATAAGAAAAAATGGCTCCGAAACAAGGCGGTTCCGTGAACTATCAACAAACGCAGTAAAATTACCCATAGAAGACAACAAACACAGTAAAGCGCTACAAACCAATTATATGCCTCCATAAACATGTTAAGATCAGGTTTGGTGATTGATCATCATAAAAATCAATCACCAGGGGGCATAATCGATCAACTAAAATGAAGATGATGGCTGAAACACTGTGTTTAAACGTATCATCTCAACACAATCTGAATGCTAGATGAGAGGTCGATCAACGGAACTTGTTGCTTCAGAATTGAACTTGATAGCAAACATATTAAAATAGGAAGTAGTCTTATGATGTCCGCACCAGTACAAAGACGACTCTCAGTGAAGGACAGTTGCTAACAGCTTGATCGACTCCGATTATCCGCGCTATGTAAACCATCAAGTTATTCTGAGAAAAGTGAATGGTAAATCACTATACTCCGCTCCAAGGCGGAGAGGGGTGACGAGAGTTTAGAGATGAGACTCAGACTTGGGTTGCGGTGCAACGAGGAAATATGAGAGGCGGGAAAGGTGAGTGCGACGCGCGAGTTCGGAAATACCACCGCGGTCGGGACTCGGGAGTGTCGACATTTTTATTTTTCCTAATCTTGTTTAGTTAGCTATCTTTTTCATATTTTAAAATTGAGTGTGTTTGCTAGTAATTTTATCGACGATGGAAAAATTACTGTAATTTTATGAGTAATTTTAGCGATGATGGAAAAAATTACTGTCATTTTATGATGTATTTTGTGATTATGAAAACAGAGATTGAAATACAACTTATTTTTCAAACAAAAATTTAATTGGGAGTGATTTTCAATTTTTTAATTTGTATCAATGAAATGAAGTTGATATCTCTCTCCAACGATAGTGAGGGCGTAGAAAGTACGATATTGTTTGTAGTCACGAGAGAGGGAGATTCTCTCCCCCATTCCATATTTGGAACGGCGAGCAACGATAGTGGACAAAGATGAGATGGTGACGGTAATGGATGGTAGCAAAAATATGAAGAGATTAAAAGAAGAGAGAAGGAATAAAAAATGTCATGTCATATAACAAAATTGTTTACAAATTAATATTTTCATTTAAGAAAAACAAATTAGAAACGTCCAGTAGTCGAAGAATGTTTATAATAAGTTTTCAAACTTTAGGACTAAAATTGTTTATTTTGGACCTTAATGACCAAATTTACACTATCTTATATGATATATAATTTAATTTACTCCGAATCTCTAATTTTTTCTATTTTTTAATAAAAAATATATATAATTTAATTAATTTTAAGAAATAAATGACTCATGACTATCCTATATGATATATAAATAAGAATAATAATTAGGGATTAATACATTGATAGGCTATGATTGAAGTAATTTACACTTTTGTCATGAAACAATCAGTACCATCACCAAATTTTTTGGTTACTTAGGAGGTTACATCCTAAATCCCTTGAATTTTACCTGGACTTTCCAAAATTAAAAAACATAAAATCCCAAAATCCTCAAAAGTTCGAAAACCTCCTGCCTCTGACTCTTCTTCTTCGTGTGTCTGTTTCTGTCTGTTCCTTCGTCTCCAGTCGCCATCTGCGTTTCTTCGTCTCCGATCACTCGTCTATTGTTTCTCTTCGTTTATCTCGAGGTTTCTTTTTTGTCGTCAGCAGCCCGTCGACCATTCGAGCCCTTTGTTTATCCTGACCATTGTCTAGTCGCCAACTGGAAGGTTAGTAGGTTATTTGTTTTATTTGTTAATGGTAGAAGGGTACAGTCGTATATAATTTATAGCCAAATATAGGTTATATCTTCATATAATTCTATGTTATAATGGTTATAGTTTATATCACATTATTAAGTGTATGTTGCTTAAGTTTATAGCCGGATATAGTTTATATTTCTATATAAATGAAAAGGTAGCCGGATATAGTTTATTTATTTATTTATTTCTATAGTTTATTTATCCCGAGGTTTATATATATATATATATATTATTTATTTATTTATTTATATCCATATAAGTATATGTTATAAGGACTACAATATTGAAATTTCACTAAAAATTGTAATGAAATGAAAAAATATTTTGTAATAAATTTCATTATTCAGTATAATATATTAAAGAGTAAATTCGGAGATTATGAAAATAATTGAATATTTTGTAATAAATTTCATTCTTCAGTAGAATATATATTAAGGAGTATGAGAATGATTGATTTAGGTCCCACAAGAATTTACTGTTTACAAAATCAAATTTGGAATATTAATTTTTTGCATTTAAATACAAGACTAATTATAATAAATATAAATACCATAAATAAGAGTAAATTTGGTATTTAGAAAAAATTTTAAATCTAGAAATCTGAAACTGTAAAATTTGTAAACATTAGACATTTATGAAAATAAGTTTCCAAAATAATTCATCTACATTATCTCTAATAATTAGGGGCAGTTACAAGTCTGGCAAAAAAATTTAAAGAAATAACAAATTTAGCATCTACATTTTAGATTTGTAAATATAGCAAATTTTTTAGAAAAGACGGAGGTCCAGTAATAAAATGTCAAATTTACCCTCATAGCATTGTCATTGATATAACACTGATATATATATATCTGATACATACTTGATATACATCTGATTTACTATTGATATAACTATAATATCTACGAATGTAACTTGTTATATGATTATATTATTTACTATTTATTGATTTACCACTAATATATGTGTATATATGCCTTTGATATACAATTGATATAATACTGATATACAATTGATTTACTTTTGATATATCTATGATATCTACCAATATAACTTCTAATATGATTTGCCACTGATATAACTATGGTTTCTATTGATATAGGTTCTTCGGGAGGAGAGTAATATGAAAACAATTAAACTGAAGTTTTAAATCTGAAAAGTTTGAGAAACGTGGATATATAGAAGGAATATTTGATGACGAGGAGAAGGAATATCTGGAACCAAATCCAAAAGAGTCCCCAATGGGCCAAAGGGCCCATGGACGCATTAGTGAAAAGCATGGTGCCGTTCAAAATTCAAACTTTCACATAAGCTATTCGACCGTTGGTGCCTTTGGATCAAAACGCCGAGTCCGTCCTGCTCCTCTCCTCTCGCCCATTCAAACATCATGAGACGCCATGGTTGGCAACGCCCTCTCCATCCTTTACAGGTTCTGATTTTTCCTCTCTTCTTTCTGCTACATTTTCTTTTTTAACATCAAATTAAAATGCGGATTCTTTTCCTTCTTCAACTTTCAGATTGTGGCAATGGGAATTTACAGTTTTTTAGTAGTGGCGTTCTATACTTTCTTGGGGTTTTTCCTGGGGAACAGAATTGCCGAAATTACAGTTACGACACTGTTTTCGCTTGTGGTAATGTAATTGGATGTCTTTCTTTTGATTTCTCTCACGAACACGAAGTCATTTGGATTTTTTACTGGTCTCCGTTTGGTCACTCAGGTGCTTTCAGTTATGTTTCTATTCATAAGGTGCACCGCCACTGACCCAACTGACAAAACCAGCGTTAGAAAAAAGAAAAGGGAATCGAAATCCAAGAGTTTCTCTAAGCTAAATTTTGGATTTATACTCGGCCGAATCGTTTTAAGGCAATTTAGGAGAACAGAAAGAAAGATCCTTAAAACATTTATTCGGAGGAAGTATCTGGATCCATGGAAGGTGGGCCCTCAAATGGAGCCTTTGGTCCCTTTTCCTCTTGTAACCAAGGATGATGTGGTCACTCCTGACCATAACGAGGACGATACAACGTTTTGCTCTCTTTGTAATTTCCTGGTACGTAATACACAGATGGATAAGTATTACTAGTCCTTAGTCCTGCCCACATTCAATCTAAGCCATGTCGCTGCAGGTGCAGAGGCACAGCAAACATTGTCGGACCTGCAACCGCTGCGTTGAAGGCTTCGATCACCATTGCAGGGTAATAATAATAGTACACACGTTTCTGTCTATAGCCTTCTTGGTTCCTGATGGACGCTTGTGTTTTTTTTTTTCAGTGGCTCAACAACTGTGTTGGAAAAAAGAACTATACCACATTCTTTCTTCTGATGATATCCGTGCTGTTAATGGTCAGTTGCTCTTTTACCCTGAATTTCGAAAAACTCTGCTTCTCTGGACAACTGGTTAACCAAACAAATTGGGCGGATACAGCTAGCCATCGAAGGAGGGATGGCCATTGCCATATTTGTGAGGTGTTTTGCAGATAAGAAAGGAATGGAAATGGAGCTGCGACGAAGACTCCATATAGACTTTCCAAGAGAGGCGCTTGTCACAATTACGGTTAATTTTATCTTAAATTTCTTTTTTTGATCAAGTCTGGTTTGACCCAAGTTAATCGAATTTCTGAAATGCCACAGGTTTTTCTTGTCTTTATGACTGCGTATGGCTCAGCAGCACTTGGACAACTATTTTTATTTCACGTAGTTCTCATAAAAAAGGTGCATTTTTCTTTTCCGCTAACTTGAATTGGTTATGGTGTCTAAGGCCCAGTCAGTTTTATGTATTTAACCACTAATTGTTGGGAGTGGTGGTTTCAGGGAATGAGAACATATGACTACATACTAGCCATGAAAGCGGAGAGCCAATCTATTATTGAAGATCCATTTGATGAGGATTTGGATTTCTCTTCAGACGAAGATTTTGATTCGCCTGAGAAGAAGACATCTTTGGTGTCACGTTTTGCCGTGTGCCAAGGGCGTCAAGTCAAAGAGGTAGTTCTACTTTAAGCTACTGGCTACAGTCTTGAAGGGTGGCCGATAATAATACCACACACACACATATGTATATAAATAAATGATATGCCTTAATCTCTGGCCACGTTGTACGTGCAGGACTCGGCAAAATTTTCCATAAGAATAGACGCAGAACCCCTGCCACCATCCACCGGTAAACAAGGTCTTGGTATCAGCATTGATCCATGGAAATTGATGACTCTGAGCAGAGATAAGGCTCTCGCGGCAGCTGAGAAAGCCAAGGAAAGACTTCAGAGATCTAAACACGATTACCTAAAGCCCCTGCCACTAGAGACCAAATCTGGCCTACTGACCGATACTATGACTAGTACCGGTAATTATAACGGTATAGATGGGAGGGGCAGATGCTGGGGGAATGCGAAAGGTGTATGTGGGGTGTTGCCTAAGGGAAGGGCACCTACTGGCTCCCCGGGAAGTTTTTCGAGCCCAAGGCGGCGTTGCTCTAGCACTCAAAACATGGTCCCAGCCTCAGCCTCAGCCACAGCCACTTCGGCATCCCCAAAGCACAAGTACAGAAGCAATTTCGACTTGAAGTTGACAGAGGTGTCCAAAGAGCTTGAGACCTACATTTCAAGGCAGGTTTTATGCTCCATCATTAAGAAGGAAGGGAGCGTGGCCTCCCCAAGATAGTTCTTTTTTATTCTTGAATTCTTTTCAAAGAAATCTTAGCGCCCTACAGTATTTGATGTACCGCTCTGCTGTATATTAAAATTATTATATAAGAAATCTTCAATACTTTGGAATATAGTATTTCAGACATTATCATCCACAAAAGTGAGCGGGGTCAATAGACGCAGATTGCTCCGTTATTTTACAATAGATAAATAAACGCAAATAAATCCTTACGCCATACCCTTATATTTTCTAATAAATCACTCCGTTATTAGTTTGCTCCACACAAGAAATTACAAAAGCAAATAATATTTGTGCTGCCATCTCAACCGCACACCTCTCAGCATTAGGCAAGGCAAGCGGCACGCGGATGAAGCCAGCCCATTTGAACTTATCTATCAATCAAAGAGACAATCAATCACTCGAATATTACAAATTACAAAATGATTAGAAGAATGGTGACAACAATGCCCGGAGAATATACCTGAGCAATCCAGCTCCTCTGTTTTTCTCACCCGAATTCCACAAGAAATTTGGTGGCAGATAACATTCTAAAATGTGTCGGGGAGAGATTTTTTCTTTCAGAGGTTGGCATATCTCTGGAGAAACCAAGTCTGAGAATCCTTGCACGTGCGAGCAGTTCCAATGGTGCATCGAGGTTACATTAAGCGTGATGTTGGATAGGCAAATATTATGAAAATCATCTCCTTCTATGCCCTCTAGAAGCCCTGCTGTTTCAATATTCTCTCCACTCACATGTTTAATTGTGATCCCCTCTACCGTTGGAAGAGCCATGGGATCATAACAAGAATCTGGGTGCTCGCCGTAGTTACCAGTGAACCTTATGGCTATATCTACATTGAACAAGCTCACATTTGATATGTAGACGTTGCGCACATAACCACGCCTTCCAGGAGACGTCTTTATTCTGATTCCCATCCTTGAGTTGAAAAATAGGAGGTTTTCTACATGAATTTCTGATATACCTCCAGACATCTCACTTCCAATTGCAACTCCCGCACTAGTTCGAGTTTGCCCAGTAAGCCTACGAATGGTAATATTTGTACTAGGATGAGCATACTCAATTCCATATTTGTCCCACCCACTCTTGATCGAAATTAGATCGTCGCCTGTGCTGATGTAGCAATCTTCAATGCACACTTCAGCAGAAGAATCTGGAGATGACAAGTTTAAGATAACAATATATAGCTTCGAACAGACAGGAATGCCAGGTAACACAAAGGCAGGGGGCACTGGTGATCCTAGAATTAACTTGAAGGTTTATCACATTTAAACTTTTGGCTTTCTGGAAGAATGGGTACCAGTTTTTAAAATTTATCATACTTGAATGACAAATAATTACCTTACCTTATTGTTTAAGCCATATAACATATATGAAACCCATATTTCTATTCTTGCCATACATGTTCACATTTGCAGAGTGAAGTCTAAAATTTTGGCAGATCTTTAGGGTAGGGTAGCGCCTCACAATTTTCTACTAAAGAATGCTCTGAATTAGTTGACCGAGTTTCAAGAACAGAACAGATGATGCCTCACCTGGATCAATACCATCTGTGTTTGGAGAATCAAGGGGCGCGAGGATTGTCACGTTCTGGACCAGGACTTTGCTGTTCATTCAAAGTGCAAAAATTATGTCTAAATCTCTGCATGCTTGTTAGTTTAGTTTCACACCTTTATAATAAATAAAGCATCAGGTTGAACAAACAAGGAAAGAAAGAACAATATGCTTCTCCCGAGGAGGAAAGACCTGCAATATACAGGATGGAGGGTCCAAAATGGTGAATTCTTGAATGTCAGATTTGAGATGACAACTCTAGTTGAATTCATAAGTTCAACTAAATGTGGTCTCGTATAATTTAACGTTTTTCTATGGAACCAGTCCCACCAAATGCTGCCCTGTCCATCAATGGTTCCATTTTCACCTGCACATAGAAAAAGCAACGATGATTAGGGTGTGAAAAGTACACTATCGGAGAAGACAACTGTTCTTCAATATGGGCCACCTGTTATGATGACGTCTGTCAAATTGCATCCATATATGAGGCTTCGATGCCTTTTGCCTGGCAATTCGCGTCCTCTACCATATGAGGGCAATGGTTTGACAACTGGCCAGTCATTAGAGATCTGAAAAAAGTATGGAACTTTCATCTTTAGGTAATCAGATGCCACTACATCTTATTAGGATTGAACTAATGCAACTTATACAACAGTCTGATTGAACATGCAACTCTAATTCATTAGGATTTCAACTACGTATTCGAAGGGACTTGAGGAGCAAATCATCAATCTGATATCATTGACTTTGGTGGGCAGCAGACACAAGGAGTAGGGATAGCTTCTGAGCAAAGCATGAAGCGAAATGAAGTTTCCAGAAGAGGATGATTTAGGTGTAATGAATCAAAATTCACTTGTTAGACACTAATATTCAAGCAAGATGCAAGAGCTTACCGTTGAACCAAGAATTACAGCATCCTTGTCCAACCACAAAGTTAAATGACTGATAAGGTCGAAACTTCCAGTCAACCAACGGCCAGCTGGGACAAGAAGCTTGGCACCGCCCTTGTCGGCAAATGAGTTGAGGTAGAAAATAGCATTTTGGAATGCTTTTGTGTTGAGTGTGATGCCATCTCCAACTGCACCAAAATCAGTAATAGAGACACTGTGGGGTCGAATTTCTGCTACATTAATCAGCTTGCAAAAAGAGCTGCTCCTGGCAATCCGTGGAGCAAGACAGAACAATGCAAGCAACAGAAGCACGTCCACCAGCTGAAAGAAGAAAGTCATTATTAAGTATCCTAAAGGGAGTGATCAAATGCGCTATATTATATCTGGCTTATTTCAAGAATTTACGCTAGCACCATTTTTACCGATATAAGAAAACCTAAGATCATGGGTGGTTCATTGGTCCAAAAGAACTAATGTTAATTGAGAGAGAATGAGTTCAAACCCATGATGACCACCTATCTTAAGAATTAGTAATTCCCATGTATTTCTCGACACCAAATGTTGTAGGGTCAAACAGTTGTTCCATGAAATTAGTCGAGGTGCGTGTAAGCTAATCCAGACACTCACGGATAACCAAAAAAAAAAACCTAAGATCAAGGAGGTATCAGGACTGGAGGCACAAATACAATCAAGAATACAGCTGAAGACATCTATTAGAAACCAATGTTAAACTAGACAAAGATGGAAATAGATTACGCTAGGATGGAGAGTTTTGGATTTAGTCAAAATGATGGTCGAAAGGGAGCCCAGGAAATTTGCGCCGAAAATGCAAATGCTAAATTAGGTGGTGTTAGCTTAAAAGAAGTGTTGAAGTTGAAAGAGAAGAAAAAGAAGTTAAGTTAAACAACTCACGGTGAAAGGCGTCTTCATAGGAGTGAGATGTGTGGCGTCGGGGGCGGTGAGTTGAATTTATGAGCTCGTGTTTACAAACTACAACATTGACTCCCAATCGCAAAGAAGCAAAGAGAAGGGGTGGTTGGGGATGGTTAAGACTTATCACATACTCATGTTGAGGCACTACACAAATCATTGATGCTGACCGTTGCTGCTCAAAAAATATTAAGCAGTAGGCCCCGCCTGCGCCAGTTGCAGGGTCCTCTTGTTCCTTCTTCTGCATCCCATTCTCTATCTATTTTTCGAGGTTCTCCAAGTTCATATGAGAAATGGAGGGGGAGAATGCCATCGCCAAGAAATTCTCATTCTCAAATGGATGCAAAACCATGAAGACAAAAACTGGGTTTTGCTAACCTAAAAAGTGGTATATGGTTAAATGCTGATTACAGTGAGTGGCTCTTTTTGGCTCAAAGAGAGGGCATGGAGCATGTGACATGCCATCTCTTCTCATGTGAAAGTGCCAACAGTGCTTGTTTCTGGTGCCCAACTTTTCTGGCCGCTGACTTGGAAAACTTCAGTTTCTTATTCATCTGGGCCAGGTATTGTGCTTGGGCTAGCTAGGGCAGTAGAATACGTTGCAAAAGTACAGTACAGTGATACGACACATCCCCATCAAAGAGGCATAGCAATGGACTATTTTTGCTTGAAATCCTGAAACACACCTTGACCATGCGTTGTTTAAAATAAATAACCTATCAATTAATGAGCAAAACTGCCAAAACTATGAATATGCTAAAACAGTAACCGAAAGGAAAAAAAAAAAGGGGGAAGTAGCAGAAAGTCAAAGGGCAATGGTAAAAGATGGAAGTGGGAAGGCGAGATTCGCTTGGGTGCAGGTGCAATGCATTATTGGTTTCAAGTAAATTAAGAAAAAATGTCGAGGTAAAGGACGACAAAGTATATTCAACCAAGGGGTGATCAAAGGTCATCTTAGAAGAAATAGAAACCCAAAAGTAAGAAAAGAAAAGGGAGTAAGCTTCGAAGTCGGGTATCCATTGCGAAGGACTCGGCTAAACTTACCACTTACCAGGCAATCCCATCATATCTTCAAACAATCCCAAAATTGAGTTCTGTCACAAACCGCAGAATTACATATTTACCCGTAAACTTCTTAAAACTCGATTCCTCCCATCTTCTGATGCCCCCTGGAATCTCATCCAATAATCAAGTGTTGCTCTGTCATCAAGTCTCCTTGCTGTAAATTCTCTCTAGCTCATGAAGTTGAACAACTCTCCCAGCTCAATCTTTACATCTCCATCCTTTGTTGAGTGTTTAAAGATTTGATCTTCAATAGAATGGGATACGATCATCCCTTAAAAAATTCAATATAAATTTGAGCCTGAATCTATATATATATATATATATAAAAGTCGATATAAGATATAAATTTGATCCCCTATTTACAAAATTTTAACAAAAATTCTACCCTGTTAAAAGTCTGGATTATATTTCAAGAAATATATCGAGTACAATGTCGTGTTGAAATTGTAATAGAAAAATGAGAATAAAATTTAACTAGCTCCGATTGACAATAAAATTTTTCTCCTATCAAAACATTCCATCTAAACCCTGAGTGAACTCTCATCTCGGGCCCTTACCAACCAAACTCTTTTGGGGCTATCTACAAGCATATCTTCCAAGAGAATCCTCTTATATTGGGAATTTATGCAGGAACTACGTTCTTGATTGAAGTTTTTAAACAGAAAAGGGAGAAAGAAACCACAGGATTTATGCCGTTGCTTTGGGAGTGGTAGCTGCAGAAGACGATTCAGCAGCAACTGGACCTGAATTATTATTAGAACCTCTACCATTGGTTAATACTTCTCCTGATTTTTCCTTCCTTCCAGCATCCTGATCCTTCTTTACCAGCACCGGTTTGAACTACCAAAAGACAAAAGTAAAAGAAAATTTGTAATAAGAAAATATAGAGAGAGCACGCAAGAGAAAGGAATGAACATCACAGTCCTTTCGAAATAGGATATACCTGATATATGGAATATATAACGTTTCTCCTTATCTGTGCCATCATGTCCAGGAAGAGGTTATAGCCCTCAAGTTTGTACTCTATAAGAGGATCGCGCTGTGCATACCCACGCAAACCTACAGCTTGCTGCACAAACTTGAGTGCTTGCAGGTGTTCCTTCCATAATCGGTCAATATTGCTCAAGACCAAGAATCTCTCAGCTTCCTTCATTAATCCTGGTGCTTCCTTCTCTACAATATCCTGAAATTAGAAACACTACTAAATTATCCCTGAACTTAAAAATTAAGTTTGTTAAGCCAGGATAAACTTCAATATATTCCTTTCATGCGTGAATTTAAATTAATTATGATTAACTACCACCCACACGATAAAATGACATTATAAATATTTAAACTTATCTCCTACTCTGATAAGCTGAAAAATCACTACTAATAAAAAAAAAATTTAAGTTGTTACGTTGGAATAAAACTTATTCTTTTTCATTAATTCTTAAACAAACAAGACAATAATTTTAATTTCATAGCCATGGCAAAAAGGTAAAGTAGGATGAAAGAATTAGAACAATGAAGAGATGAGCACCATCTAGGACTCAGGAGGGCATCAAATCAACTTAAAATGAAAGTAAGGCACTTCCAAACAAAGTAAATGTAGAGGGTGGGCAGGCCCAATGCCATAATACATGCAAGAATCAGATCACTTAGACATTCAAAGAGTCGCGTGGGAAGAGAGGGATAGATTAACTATCCATGTACTGACCCTTTTCTGTAAGTATGCTTCACGCCCACGAAGACGAAGATAATTCTGCAAATCCTCATATGTTGAATATTTACTCCTTAATAAATCTGGGGTAAAATCATCCAACAGATAGCAATACCTATGAACAAAGCAAAATGTGAGTCATGCAAACCAGTTCAGGTTATGTGAATATCTACTAGACGGTAGTTCATACGGTCGATTTAACAAATTGATGCACAAGCAGGTCAAACTTGTTAAGATTTAACATCACTACAATGCTTCGTGCCTTTCTAACCATCAGACACAAAGCTCATGATAAACATTGATGATGAAATCAGCCTCTTACTGTTGAACTTTTGCAATGAGCTTCTCAAGATCCCAGCTTTCAGTTGGAGCATCAGAACCAATATTTGCCTATAGTTTTAAAATCAATGAGTCTGGGAGGTTTAAATCAGCAATGTGAAAGAAAGTTCATATGACATACTTCTAATATGTCATCCATTGTAAGCTCAGCATATTCAATAATAAGTGATTGTAGATTGTCTGATTCGAGTGCACGCCTTCTCTCAGTGTATACACGATCTCTTTGGCTATTTAAGACTTCATCATACTCAAACAATTGCTTCCGAATATCAAAAAAGTAGTTCTCGACTTTCCTTTGAGCTTCATCAAGTGCTTTTGTTAGCATCTGGGATTCAATAGGAAGGTCTTCCACTCTAAAAGCTCTCATTAAACCCTACAGATGCAAATAAAAAAACAACTAAACAATCATGGATCATACCCTGAAGCTAAGGACCTGAGCTAAATATAAATTATAACCTGAATTCGATCTCCACCAAATATCCTAAAGATGTTGTCTTCAAGACTTAAGAAGAAGCGTGAACTTCCAGGATCCCCCTGTCGACCACTTCGACCACGCAGCTGCAATGATACATATCGAGGAGTCAACTTAGTCTCAAGTCACATAGGAATAATATATCACAGGCTTCTATGCATAAGTGAGAGTGATAATGGAAAAAAACACAGTAAGATCATAAATAAATCTTTGAGTTCTATTTATTACAGGTTTACAGCCCAGTAAAATCAATATGTAAATTCGACCTGGTTGTCAATTCGTCGGGATTCATGACGTTCTGTCCCTACAACATGAAGTCCACCTGCTAATACAACCTGCAAGGATGAAAAAATGAAGAGAAACAGTTAACATCAAGAAACAGGCAACAGATTTATTTTGGTGGAAAAACTGACCTTATTCCTTTCTTCCTCGGTATAAACCTTGTATTCTTTGACAATTTCCAAAAATGCATTCCGCAACTTAGCTATGACATCATCTTGAGCAGGGCCCTACAAACTCAAAAGAAAAGAAAAGAAAACCAAGGCAAAAAATAGAGAGAGAAAAAAACCCAGAGTTTGTAACATAAAGATAATAAGTCCTTAACTAAATTTCCAACAAAATAAAATTCTAAAGTTTCTTCAGCTGCCAACTAGAAAGAATACTGGTTTCGAAGAATTTACCTTCTCACAAGAATAAGATAGACGCTCCTCTGCTTCAAGCTCAGTTAGTGATCTCTGACCCCAAGTCTTGACAGCAAACTGTACAGCCTCTTCAGCCAACTTGGTATTCTCACTTGATAAATCACATGGAAATAAACTTTCGTTCACCTAATATATCATAAAAATAGATCAACTGGGAAACCACACAGCAGAAAGATTAACCTTGCTGAGAAAAAATACAAATTCAAGTACCAATGTCATTACTATACCTTCCATGTTTTCTTTGGAGGAGGCTTCTTCACCGATACAAAAACTCCGTCAGTTAGTTTGACAAGTCTGCAATAAAATATTCCCACAAATTGTAAAGCATGCTTTATTATTCATTAACTACCACCCATTCTAGTCGTTTTCTATAGATTGACATCAGTCCATGGCCCCATAGCACTTATAAAATATCCAAGGACATGTAATCTGAACATGTGCAGATTATTGGACATTCCAAAACAGAGACTCCATCCTTCAGCGCATCATATTGATATAACATCTAACATTGGATTAATACTCCTTAATCCTTAAAAGCAGGGAAGGGGCTTGGAGTTATTTTCCAGGTGTTGGTTTCCTACCTCTCACGCTTGTGATCTTCTCATTCGCACACTCTCCCTCTTGTACTTTTTATTACTTTTATAACCAATTGAATAGCCTTTTCTGGCAGTTCCCGTGGTTTTTGTGAGAATTTCTTATCCTTTCTTGCTTGCGTATATCTGATTTTTTTAATACTGTTATTAAAATTTAAAAAAAAAAGAGGTTCTGTAAGGGGAATGTCGAGCAATAGCAAGAGTAGAAATTCACTTTGAGATAGGGGTATTAAATATCTCTATTTCCATAAACATTTCTGTCAGACATCAACTTTGATATTACCATTAACTTATACCATAAAAATATTGAGGAAATATAGAAATTGTTAACAAAGTATCCCTAATGTAAACATTATATTAATAATAAGGATTTTAAACATATATAAAAAGTGAAATACTTATTAATTAATTTAAATTTGTTATTAATTTCTTCATTTATATGATTTTTTCCATAAATATTCATCAGCATCGACATTTTATTGATATTTCTAAAAAATTGAGATCTCGACATTTCCATCAACATTAACATTTAAACTTCGTTTCTGACCTCATATGCGAAAACTTTCATAAGCAAATTGAGAAAAAATCAAGATGATTTTTGTAGGAATGTATCTCGGTGGTGCATCAATTATAGCAAATTCTTTTGTAACTACAACCTTTCCATGTTTATGCACAATTGGGAAGCGGTTGTTTAGTTTGTTTGGTGGGGTTCCCTCTACCCCAGCCTCTAGTTTGTTCTTTCTCTTTTGATCAATACATAGATGTTTCTTATCTAAAAAAAGAGAAAAAATCAAGATGATACCTTGGCATAAGCAGCTCACGTAACT